CTTCCTTCACCTACACTGGAGACTGGTTCAGAGCCCCATCCTGTAGGCAGTTAATCCCACTGAAGCACAAATTGGCCCCTAGTCCCCGGGAATCAGAGTCCAAAACCCTAAGTGTTCTTCCACACTGGTAACTGAGACCAGACAAGTTGTTTCAACTCTAACGGCCTGGATGACTTTGAATTCAATGCTCCCAGCCCTGACAGACACCAACTCTACTGTTCACAGAGGGGCCCCACCAGATGTCTGCATTTTACCTCTGCTTTTCCAAGTGCCCGGTGCTGCACCTGGCTCATTTGGAGCCACTCAATTAGCTTAATGCTAATCAGTTACACATTTTGTGTCACTGTGAAAAAGAAAAAAAGAAAAAGAAAGGAATAAATAGAAGGAAAATTCATTTGTAAAACAACACGAAGGAGTTTTGCAAGATCTAACCATCAAGGGACCTGTCAGCCCAAGGCAGTTGGATTGACCTCAGAAAGCCAGGAGAGCGGGAAGAATGAACGGGCAGAGAATGGGTAGGAAGGAGGTGGGCTAAGTAGCCTAATGTCTCCATGATTCCTCACGCGTTTCCCGGACTAGTACACACCCACGCTAATGCAACTGTGCCCTCGAAATTACAAAACCTTTCCTTTCTTCCAACTGGTTTGTGTCCTCTCCCATTTCCTACTGACTGGGACTTTTTAAAAACTATTTGCTTTGGGTTTGGGTTGGTGGGTTTTTTGCTTTTTGTTTTTCTGTTGTTTTGTTTTGTTTTGTAGTTCTTGAGGGCGCATGTGCTAAGCAAACAAGTGCTGCCCTCTGTACCCCGAGTCCTCTTTGGACTTTCTGTTTTGATGCAGGGTCTCAGGAAGTTGGCCAGCCTGGTGTGAACTCACTCCGTATCCCCTGGAGACTTGAACTCGTGATCCTCCTGCCTCAGCCTTCTTTGCAGCTGGGATGACAGGCTTGCATGTAGATTTTTAGCGCTTTTATCAGCTAGATAAATGCAAACAAGTTGCCTTAAAGAGGCAACACAGCTTGCCCCTTTAAAAAAAAAAAAAAGGATTGCTAGATTGATTGATGATTGATCGATTGATTGGGGGGCACATCCTGGGTCAGAGGACAAGCTGTATGAGTCAGGTCTCTCCTTCAGCCCTGTGGATCAGAACTAAGGGCATCATACTGGGAGCCGTGTGTCTTAACCTACTAAGCCACCTGGCTAGGTTCTTCACTTAAAGATAAGGTACCTGTCCTTGAGTCATGTTTAATGTAACCTTCCCCACCCAGAGCTCCAATTCCTCACACTCATATTAAACTTTAACTTTCCCATAGTGTTTTCCCGTGCTGTGACATAACTGCTCACATGGATAGGTCATCTAACCTTGCGGTGACATGACTGCTCACATGGATAGGTCATCTACTAGCCTGGCTGTGATATAACTGCTCACATGGATAGGTCATCTACTAGCCTTGCTGTGACATGACTGCTCACATGGATAGGTCATCTACTAGCCTGGCTGTGACATGACTGCTCACATGGATAGGTCATCTCCTAATCAACCTTTTCCCTGCCCATGAAGCTAGGTCCCCAAAAATACATGTGCCTGTCTAGGGTGGTTCTGTTCTGTTCCATGGGTCTGCTTGTCTATTCCTGCACCAAATATCATATTTAATTAGTTAGCTATTCTTAACCCCCACTATATTTTCCAACACCTCTACCACACTCACTCATTTCTTCTATTACATCATTACCATCACAGTCTCGGTGTCAGGAGGATGCATAGACGATCTAACATTTTAAAGATATTAGCACCAAACAACAGAAAAATTGTTCACCGCATCCAGAATTTAATATGCTGTCTGCTGCAAACTGCCTGACTGGGAAACAGCATTGCAAATTAGTCTTACATCTCACTCTCTTCTGTTGCTTTAACAAAATACCCAAGGCTAAGCACTTTTAAAGAAAAGAAACTATCTATAATAAAGTCCTGAAGGCTGAAAGTCCAAGATCAGGTAGTCATTGTTCAGCCTCTGGTGAGCGCCTTAAGGTGGATGGCATCACGATGGTGAGACAGGAAGCCAGAGAGATTCAGGGCCCAACCTCACTTTTTATAATAACCTGCCGTCTCAGTCACCGCTGTGAAGAGACTCCATGACCATGGCAACTCTTATAAAGGGAAGCATTTAATTGGGAGCTTGCTTACAGTTTCAGAAGTTTAGTCCATGATCATCATGACAGGGAGTGTGGCGGCAGGCATGGCAGGCGTGGTCCTGGAGGAGTTGAGAGCTACATCCAGATCCTCAGGCAAAGGGGCCAGGGGGAAGCGGGGAGGATTGGCCCTGAAATCTCAAAGCATGCCCCCAGTGACACACTTCCTCCAACAAGGCCTCATCTACTCCGACATTGGCACACCACCTAATCCTTCTCATCTTTTCAAACAGTTCCACTCCCTGGTGACTAAGCGCTCAAGTATATGAGCCTGTGGGGGCCATTCTTATTCAAACCCCCCGCAACTCCTCTTATGGGCATTAACCAGTGTCCTGAAAGTACTACATTTTTTTTTTTAACTCCCATGACCTAGTGCATTCCCATCAGGTCACACCAGCTCAAAACCACCCCTTGTGTTCTTGAAGACTAAGGTTTTGGCAAGCCATGGCCCCATGGTTCAGAGAAGTACCATAGGAGGTGTGTTTGGGGGTTTTATTCTGATTTGGCTGTTGAAGGGACCAGAAAGAAGATGCCATCTTTGTGTCTCCCCATGTCTTCAGTGCAGTATTTGGACCTTTATGACACCAACCAGGGAAAATAGTTCCAAATCAGAAAGCCAGAACCCAATAATGATAACTGGCCAGAACTGTGTAGGAAGCGAAAATTCTGTTTTCGTCTGGAAATGTCTTATTGTCTTATTTATTTGACTGACTTGGAAAAATCCAGATAAATATGGGGACATTCTGCACTGGCTAAAAACACTGACCTTTGCCCCAAGAAGGCAGGCTAGAAGCTAAGGCAGGGAGGCAACTTGCTCCAGTGGACCTCAGTTGCCCCAAATCTGCCTTGCCCATTCTCAGGAATGGCAGCAGCACCTCCCTAACTAAATGGAAGTTGCACCAGCCACAGGCCAGGGCCTCGTCACCAAACATTAGTCATGCCTTGCAGATCCCGTCACCTAAACTTTCGGGGTTTGCCCGAATCTCTCTATCCCCTCCCACTAACAAATATCTCTACAGACAGCCTGAAAGCTACTGTTATCTGTGGTGGAAATGACAGCGATTTCTGATTATTCTTTCTGCCCTGAGTCACACCATTAACTGCTCCTTCCCATCCTCAGAGCCAAGAGACAAGTCTAGCAAATCCCCCTCACTTAAAATTGGAAATTCCTTTCCATTCTCCCGAGTCCACATCCACACTGTTTAATGTGTCATACGCAGACTCTCACAGGTACTGACTTGAGTGGTTAAGAGCCCAGGCACTGGATTCAGGCTTCTCAGGCTTCAAATTCCTACTGTACAACACACTAACTTTAAAGTGTCAAGAAACTTTTTCCCAGAGTACTGGGACTGGAACCCATGAGCTTTGCATGTTAAGCAAGTGTTGTATCACTGGGGTATACCCTCAGCCTCTTTAACAAGCTTCTGAACCTTCATCCTTTAGTTTGGAGATGGTAAGAACATGTCTTACTATCTGGGAGGGTTGAATGACTTGATGCATATAGACAACTTGGTGTAACACCTGGCACACAGCAAGCATTCTATGTCAACTAGTCCTTTTATTTTGGTCCCTTCCATCCATGGCACTTTCCCAGCCTCCAGACCTTCACAACCCCCTTTCCCTTCAGCTGGAACACTGTCAGTACCCTGATCATCCCAGGGAAATCTCTGGAGGTAGTCAATGGCAGCTGCATCACCGGAAAATTCTCATGCCCCGGCCAAGACCCCCTATACCAGAATCACTCAGGAATGGGAGTTGTCATAGCCTTTCTGACAGAGTTAAGCTGCAAGCCTATGCACTGACCTTCACAAGTTGTCCTTGGATGTTTATCTGTCCCTACCTCCTGCTAGGTAGTAAGTTCCCCGATCGCAGAGACGTCACCATCTAATCTAGTTGGCCATTTAATCTACACTGGTAACTACTTGTAGGCGATGAAGTGAGCCACATTCTGTAGACTTGATGGTTTAATTGCGTTTCTTCGTTGTGTATTTCTGCAAATTTACAGCAGGTGTGTGTAGGGGAGCAGGACTAAGTGTTAGGAGAAAGGTGCCCTCTGGAGGTAGAAGGGCAAAGGCAAGTTGCGAGTGATTTCCCAAGGGACCTTGCAGGTCCTGGAGCAGCACCCTAAGGACCATAAAGTCCTGCATGCTCTTCCTTGTGGACCTTCTCATCTTCGTCATCTTTGGAAGTACCGAAGGTCGAGGAACAGTGGACCCAGGAAACAAGACCTGAGGTCCAAGCTCAGCACGTGGGCAGCCACCCAGACTCTGCTCTTTTAATGGACCCCTCCGGAGGACAGCTAAGGAGGAAGCCTCTTTCTGCCTCCGGTCTCTCAGCCCCACCCCCTCCGCTGCTCCCAGTCCTCTGCCCTTCTCTCTTCCTTCCTCCGCTTTTCTCCTCGCCCTCTTCCCGTCTCCTCATTCTTCATCTTCTGCTCCCTCCTCCCCTCCCTCCCTTCTCTGCCTTCATCTCTCCTCTTCCTCTTTCCCCCTCCTCTCCTCACTCTTCTACCTCCCTCTCCTTGTCCTTCTCTTTCCCTCTTCCCTCCCCCTTCTTCTTTTCCTTCCTCCACTTCTTTCTTTCTCACCCCCTCTCCTCCCCTCCTCCCCTCCTCCCTCCTTCTCTCTCTCTCTCTCTCTCTCTCTCTCTCTCTCTCTCTCTCTCTCTCTCTCTCTCTCTCTCTCTCTCTCTCTCTCTCTCTCCCTCCTCTTCCCCAGCCTTCCTCTCTCCACCTCCTTCTGCCTCTGCCCCCTTCCTCCTTCCCGTGCCGGCTCTGATCCATTTGTCCTGAACTCCCCACGTCTCTTCCTACCTGTTCGGGACCCTCTTCCAGACCAGTCACCTCTGGTTCCAGAGGGGAGCACACGAGGCGGAGCGCGGGACACTCCGTCGCCTAGGAGGACCCACAGACCACGTCCCCGCCGTAGGTCCTTGGGCCCAGGGGATGCGCATTGCTCTGGCGAGGTGCACGGTGGCTCTGAGCTCCGGAGGCGGCACTGCATTGCGCTGCCACTGCCAGGCCTCCCTCCCGACCACCACCACTGGACGCTCCCCGCGGGGATCCAGCGCAGGGACGATCTGGCGGCACGGAGGGCGACGGCCATGCTGAAGGTGCCCCCCCCCCCCCCGCGCCCCCCGAAGCTCGAGCAGGTACGGGAAGGGCGAGGGCCAAGGACCTCGCTAGGGTCCTGAGGATGTTGCCCAGCTAACGTGAGGCGCGGTCTGGTCTCCAAGACTCCGCCCACAGGGATGTGAGCCGGCCCAGAATGGAGGCTGGGTCGCAGGACCTTCTGCAAGATGCTCCCTTTCTCTCTTTCCTCCTTTTCTCCAGGCCTTCTTCTTCCTCTCTGTCTTCTCTCCCAGGCTGTCCCGATCCATCCCTACCCACCAGGGAGGTTGCCTCTTCCTCCTCCTTCCTGCCTGTGGCAGCCCCCAGTGGCCCAGAGGGTCTTGATCTAGATTGTGCATCTGGATTACTAGGTGGCTCCTCAAAGGGCACCTTGCTGGACTCTGCCCCAAGGTTCTGATTCAAATCTGTGTGTTTGGGCCTGGTTAATAATTAGTTTGACTACCTCCAGGGAGTAGCCAATACTCAGGCTTGGAGGTCTGCTGGGCTAGTCCTTGCCTCCCATAGGTGGGTACTGAAAATCCACTCTTTATGTTTGCTCATGGGATGGTTCTGCTCTGGCTGGAACTGGCGCTGTGTGGAGTAGGCTGGATACAGGGATACCATCAAAAGTGGACTTTTCTTCTGGAGCCTGCATCCTTAAAGTAAGGGCAAAAAGAACCCATTGAGAGTGGGAGACTAGACACAAGGGGCTGCTTCTGATGTGGGAGAAAAGTGGAGAAGACTGGGGGCGCACCTGGAGGGTGTGTATTTGAGCTGGTCTATGAGAACTAAGTGCTGGCTTCAGTCAGACCTCACAGGAGCTGGAGGCATAAAGGAAGACTGGAGCAGCTACTGACGGGCCTGTATGACAACACCCCATCACTCCAAACCTCACCCCATTTTCTTTTCCTACATCACCTAAAGGTGTCTACTTGTGTATTTGCCTTGAGTTTCAGGAGAGCGGGCTCCTGGCCGCCTTTGCTAGCTGCTGGCTTCCCTGTATCCAGAACTGAGTCTGGCAAATGGCCGGTCCTCAGCATACACTTATTAAGTGAATAAGTCAATGACCAATGAACAGTAGTACCATGGTCTAGGACCTCCCCTTCTAGCCCTCCTTCCTAGGCAAACATCAACCACAGGCCCTGTGGTCTAGTGGGCCAGTTAAAACACCTTCCGTACATGCGAGACTCCTCAAATCTACCAAGCAATTTCAAACAATTTTTAAAAGCAGGGACCGTTTGTGCAGAAGGAGGGATCATAACTTTTTCTTTCAAGAATTTCAGTTGGTGCAGATAGGCTGCAAGCTGTCTTATAAGAAGGGGATTACATTCTGAAGAGCACAAACTGAGCACATAACTCAGGTACAGAGCACTTGTTTGGCATGTGCAAGACCCTGGGTTCCATGGGAAAAAAAAAACATAAATGTTCTCAGAAAAGAAGGGAGAGATGGTAAGAATGAAGAGAAATTCTTGGGGAGAGGAGGTCTTGGGGGAAGATGGCCCTGGTCGCTGTGTCCAGCACTGAAATGTTCTACCCTAATGAAAACTGTAGCTCTCCACACGTAGCTCCAGGACGTGGCAACTTGCATGGCCTCAGAAGTACACTTGGAGGCAGGCATGACTGAAACATTGTCTCAGGTTCTGTCTGGCGTTCTAGAGCAACCCAATCTGCTCTTGTCCGTTTGATTTTTTTTTCTTTTTTTGTTATGCCCTAGAGCATGCACTGCTTAACAGGAACTCAACATGGGCTCACATGTGGCCAGGGGACATCAGCAATTTCTGAGTTCCTGCTTCTGGCTTTGTCAATTTGGCAGAATCTAAAATCACCTGGCATATGGGCCTGTGGGGGGTTATCTCGATTATGTCAATTGATATGGGAAGAGCCATCTTAATCATGAGAGGATCAGGTGATCCTGGACCGTATAAAATGGAGAGTACAAGCTACACCTTGCTGTCAGTTTCTGACTTCAGATGTGATGTGACCAGCTGCTTCAAGCCCCAGCTGCCTTCACTTCCCCACCATGATAGACTATCCCTTGAACTGTGGCTAGCACTACCCTTTCACCTTGAAGTTGCTGTTTGAAGACAGTAGCATCTCTTCAAATGTGTTGAGTGTGCAGTGTTCCACCCATAGGTATTGTGTACAACTCTTTTGAAGCATGCTTTTCTCCTAATGTGCCACGAAACTCTTTCTGTGTGGTGATTTGTTTGCCTTTCATGGGATCGAACTTCAAGTTTGATGCAGAAGAGATCCCAGGGTGTGGGGGCAGCCTTCGGCCTGTTCTTCTCTATCTTGTCCTCAGGATGTTCCCTAGCCATCCTAGCTCAGGAGTGATGGTACCTCCCTCTTGTTGCTTATTCTCAATGGCACATTCTGTTTATTTTCTTCATAGTGCTTACTATATTAGGTGCTGGTTTTGATGGCTTATTTCAGTGGTTCTCAACCTTCCTGATGGTGCTTCCCTTTAATACAGTTCCTCATGTTGTGGTGACCCCGACCATAAAAATTATTTCATTGCTACTTCAGAACTGTAATTTTTGCTACTGTTATGAATCATAATGTAAATATTTGTGTTTTCTGATGGCCTTAGTTGACCCCTCCGAAAGGGTTATTCTCCCTGGCTTATCCATAGTGGCTCATTTCCTCTGTAACATAGGAACCCTTTGTCTATCCTCCTTCGCCATTGTATGTCATCTCTTAACCTAGCACCTAGCACAGCCAAGACTTAGCTGCTGAATGGATGAATCAATAAATGAGAAGATAGTTAACAGTCATAGGGGGCAGAAAGGAGTGGACATGTGTGTGAGGTAATACTTAAAGGTAGGGTCAACAAGAGGATAGGATCCAGAATGGAGCTCTGGGTTTCTGCTTTCAGCAGTTAGATAGGTGGGACGTGGGTCTATGGCACAAAATTGGAGACACAGAAAAAGGTGACTGGGGCAGGGGCAGGAGGTAACATCCTCTCAGAGTCAGGTTAGTTCACAGTGGGTGTGGCAAGTGAGTAGAGGTTCATAGGAAACAATTAGAAGACTCTGCAGCTCAAATGTGAGATTTGCCAGGCACAAGAAAAGGTAAGAGGTAGATTCATTGAAACAATGTAGAGAGACAGGAAGAAGAGGGCCTAGTATCTGATCAGACAGAAGGAACTAAGATGGGGCAATGGAAATGACTTTCTAAGTTGCATTATTCATAGAAGACAGTCAATGAAGACAGAAAAGGAGAGCACCTGTCCCAAGATACATCGCCACCCATGGGGCATTCTTGATCTTTATTGTAACCATTGTGAGCATCTTGGTCATCCAGATGTCTTTTTATATAAGAATGCATGTACATAAATGGGTTCGTATTAGTCACAGCTATTTTTGATGTATGCTTTCCTCTTAATATGTCATGAAGCAGCAACCTGTGTTACATTTTAAAGATCCCACAGACTTCTTTTCAAAGGAACAACAAATGTATGGGTATTTTCATCCACTTGGTAAGTATTTCATTTTTCAAAAGAGTACCTTTTAGGCTTTGGTAACTTTCTATGTAAGTGACGCTTTTCTGCCATCTGCTAGAAACTGTTATTTGGATGCGAGCCCTCCTCACATTCTCTAATATTATTTTCTACCCTACATTTGTTCTCTTAAGAGTTCTTAGATTATTTGAGTTTCTTCATTTATGTCTAGTCCTCCCATTTAGTTTTATTTCTGTTACTTTATCTTATTTTGTTTGTGTCTTTGTAGGATTCTTGTCATTATGGGTGCAGAAACTTCTGTCTCAAACAGTATGCCTTTGGCTGTTTACTATACACACACTCCAAGACTTTGGATGCTCTCTTGCAGCACAGAACACTGTCGGCAGACTATGCTGCTAGTTGACTTGCTAGACATTTTCTCAGAGTGAACTGTCCACAGCTACAGGTCCTTTTTCTTGGGTTCGATTGTTTCTACAGAATGGAGTCTTCTCATCTTCAATGTAAGGGGTGTATCTGGTCATCAACATCTGAGTCAAGTGGGTAGGTCTGTATCCCCCAAACCAAGGCCAAAAGCACAGCAGAGGTTCACATGCCAAGCTCCTTATTATTAGAAATCTGCCCGTCCGCCCCAGGTCTGCACAGCCTGGAGGGGCTGTGTTCTTCCTGCTGTGCCAGCATGGGGGCCCTCCACTGACTCTCAGCCAAACCTGAACCTGTGGTTATTCAACTCCACGTGCACTCCTGCCCCGGAAGTCCTGGGACTCCTCAGTTGGCCCCATCCCCTGAGGGTGTTGGCATGGTCTCTTGCCTTTTGTGCCCTCCTATGCTGGCCTTCTCGGTGTCCTGTCTCCATGTTGCTTTCCCAGAGTCCATCTGCTTTCAACCCTGTAACTGTGCTTGGCTGCCCTTCTCCCCTCCTTATATTTGGAAATCCATGCCAGTTTGTCCTTCTGATGTCATCCAGCTGGGTGTGAAGGAGAGGAGGCGAGTGCATCCATTTCACTTAACATGTTTCACTGGAAGGCCTTGTTTTTACTTGATTCTCTTTAAAAAAAAAAAAAAAAAAAAAGCATGGTTATTATCAGTGAGTTTGAACATCTCTTCACAAATATGTTGGCTATTTATATTTCTTTTGTGAATTTCTTGTTCGCATACTCCATCCTTTGGAATTTTGTATCCTTTTAATAGATATACTACAAAGTTCTTTTTAGATTTCGGCTGTCAACTTTAGGCCTCTCGGACAGTTGTTTTTTCCAAGCTTGTCTTTGGGCAGAGGCAGCTGTAATACATCCGATTCTTATGTGCTCAGAGACCGTCAGCTGTTTTGCTTTATTTGTCATTTGGGGGCTCCGTGTCATACTTCTAAATGTCTTATCCACCACATGATGTGTAAAAATATTTACCCATATTTTCTTCTAATGCTTTTAAAAGTTCCATCCTCACCTTTAAATATTTGACCCATATGGGATTTATTTTGAAATACAGAATGAGTATGAATTTCCCAAACCTTGACAGTTGTCCCAGCACCATTTATTAAATAATCCCTTCTTTTTCCAAACCGATTCAAAGTGGCTCATTTATCATAGGCATTTGGGTCGATCCGGATTGCTCTGTTCCCTCATCTGTCTTCCTGTCCCTCAGCAAGCAGTTTTCAGATGGCTGTTGAGGCTGTACCATGGATTGCAGAGTTTGGTGATCCACACTCCGTGTTTTCAGATGGCTGCTGAGGCTCTATCATGGATTTCAGAGTCTAGGGGTTCCACCCTCAGTCTTGACTCTTGATATGCTCATCCTTCTAGACGAATTTCGGTGTTAACATCATTTCCAGACTCTTAGGACCTCAAATAGACTTACCAAATAGTGTCTCAGAAAACATGGCCTCCAAAGTAGATACCAGCTGGTGAGGTGGGTGTGGTTGTACTACTGAGAACTCTAACAAACAACTTTTTACATAGTGTCTCTAAGAATATTGTCATTCGTCACCATCACCTTCTGTTAGGAAATAATAGTGTCAGTATCATATTACCTAAGGGTAATCATCACTACTAGATAACAGAAAGTGTCTTAAGTACAATTCTACACCCTCAACTTGCCTAGGCTTCCGAAGAATAATTTAGCACCCTCCATTTAAGAAGTGACAGAATCCAGTGGATGGTTGCAGACAGTTATGTCCAGAACTCTGTTACTAGTAAAAGGCAAATAGATTGTTCCCCTATTGAATACCCAGTTCCTTGTTGAATCTCACTTTAACATCAAGCACCATTAACTGAAGATCTCCAACATCAAAAGGAGGAGAGTCCTCTAGATACTACTTTTGCTGAGCTAATTGGCTCTTGGGCTAAGCTCCTTCCTATAAACCTCTCACACACTATCTCACATAGGCTCACACTATTCCCATGAAGTGGACACAAGCAATTATTATATCATTCCAGCGTCTCACGAGAAGAAAACCGAGACAGACACCAGGTTAGTGAGACATTCGAGATCAATATCCAGAGAACTGGGAACTCGTTATTTGGTAGTAGGCAGTGTTGGATGGACACAGGGCTCTGGGCTCTAAACCCATTCAATGCTTTCTCCTCTAAAACAGGAACCTGTAGAGGGAGATTTATCAAAGAAAGGAAACCTGTTGTTTTAGTTACTGTGAAGAGTATTGCTGCTGTGAAGAAACACCATGACCAAGGCAGCTTATAAAAGAAAGCATTCAATTGGGGGCTTGCTTGCAGTTTCAGAGGGTGAGTCCATGACCATCATGGCAGGAAGCATGGTGGTGGCAAGCAGGCAGGCACTGGAGCGGTAGCTAAGAGCTCACTTCTAACCTGCTTGTTGCAGGCAGAGAGGGATAGATTGGGCCTGCTGTGGGCTTCTGGAATCCCAAAGCCCATCCCCAGTGACACACCTCCTCTAGCAAAGCCACACCTACTCCGAAAGGTCGCATCTCCTAATGCTTCCTACACAGTCCACCAACTGGGAACCGAACAGTCTAACATGAGCCTACAGGGGGCATTCTTATCCAACCCACCACACATAGACACTGCTATTACTCGAGAGTTTCTACATTCCTAGAACTTGGCACCTGAGCCCAGCTGTGTGGTGACCTCTATCCAGGTCCCGCCTGTGGAAGCCATGGGATGGATGTCAGCATCAAGCATTGCAGCAGCCACCTCCTGTTTCCTGGCATCATCCAGGAAAATGTTGCCCGAGCCTGTCTAAGAAACTGAGCAGTCGTCCAGAGCTTTGCTCTCTCTTCTAAGGGAACACCTCGTGCCTCTCACAGAAGCGCATACTCATATAGAGTCCATTTGAGTTGGAAATCTTAGACAGAGCCATGTCAGAATTGCCTGCGCCATTTGAAGAAAGCGTGGAGGAGAATGTGCGGGCAATACTAAATCTGTGTAACAGGCGTTCTATTTACCTTCTCTTCTCTGCTATCTTCAGGAATTTCAGCTTTTGGACGGGATCTTTAACACTGCTGGCCTAGGAAATAAGCTGTCGTAAGGTTGTTTTTCTACTGATCGATTTGAAGGTTTTAAGTAACTAGAGGCACTCTTTGGCGGATTCCGTTCTGGGAATGTCTGTGTGCTCCAGTTCAACTGCAAGGGTATAGGGCTCTGCACAGTGATGCCTCCTTACCTAGAAGGCACAGCAATAATGCCAAACAAATTCAACTTCTAGTTAGCTCTGACTCTAAAGCCTTGAACTTAGAGATGGCATCCCTCCAGACACCATCCACCAGATGGTTTTTAGGAGGACTGGATTTACAAGCCATATCCCTGAAGCTAACGGGGTGCTGCCCACGAGAGGCCACTCTCCACAGTCTTGACTGATTTGCCAAAGCTGCAGTACAGGAATTGGAGACACATCTGGTTTCCTGACCTAGGAAGAGAATCAAATATTTATTAACAGTGACCTGGTTGCTGGTGTCTTGCTGTGTTTTCCGTTTGTTTGTTTGTTTTGTTTTCATTCTATAAGCAAATTATTTTATAATTACTTTCATCTTCAATGATTCCAGTGTTGGAGAACGTTACAGTTTTTTTTTTCTAGTTTGGATTTCTCATGTAATGTTTTAAAATACATGTTGAGAAAATAAAGAAATTTTAATAAGTGTCCTTTTATGTTTTCCAGCTCTCCAAGCTCTCCACAGATGATGCATGGAAGTAAGTTATTAGTACTTTTATGGCTGTTTTTATTAACAGTAAGATTCTCCTCTTAACAGTTTGAGAGATTGGATGAAGTCATTGTTGTATTTGTAAATGTCCTAAGATAGAGTGGGAGTGAGATAGCGTGTGTGTATGTGACACAGATACTTTAGACCCCGAGTGTGGATTTTAATGTGTCTTCTCCCACGTGACCCTTGCAGTACCACCAAGTTAGATTTGTGTGTTCTTAAAAATGTGGCACTATGAAGTTCTCATTTATTTTAGGCACATGACACATCTGGTTTTCTTTACGCATTGTTTCCTCTGTGTTCTGGGACCTATAGCAGGGCCATTGGGTACTGTGAGCACCACATGAAAGAAATAAAAATGACAAGCCCCTCCCTTTTTGCATTAGAGTAATCAATTATGAATGTATTCCTATTCAAAATAGGAAATAGTTCTTACATGTGTATACTAATTTATGCTCTTCAAAGTACTTCCATGTAGGTTCATCCACTTGGGATGCATTTTCATTACATATACATGGGGGAATGCAGTGGGGTGTTATATAGGTACACACACACACACACACACACACACACACACACACACACACACACACACACACACTAGATTACTGTCATGAGGCAGATTTTGTTTTCTGTCTATGGACGTCCCATTTTAGATTGATGCTGAATCCATGAGTCCTGTGTCCTTTCCGCGTGGCCTTTCTGTGTGGAAAGGCCATTCATTTCACAGGATAGTTAATCTCATTTTGGATTTAGGTCTGCAGAAGGCGTGAGTTCTTAGGCTGTCATTTCTCTTTCTTCGCTTCCATTTCTCCCCGGAGTGAGTGTGTCTCTCACACGCTTGTCTCTGATCGACGTCCAACATATCCATGTAACCTTCTCCGTGGGACGTCCCCGATTTGACTCCACCTCCTTCACTTGGTAAATGAAAGGTTCTAGTCCATCCTTGTCCCTTCCAAGACTGATGTCCTAAGCCCATCTCCAAGCTCCACGTAATTATCTCAGAAAGCTCATTTCTGTGCCTTCTCCAGCAGGGGGCACCCCGGGGTTTGGATGGGGCCCTTTTCTGAAGTGCTGGACACTTCCAAGCTCTGTAGAAATGCTGGAAAAGGAGAGACCCCAAATGGCTGGCATACCCAACAAGAACCTTTAAAAGGTCACAGGCTTCTGGCTACAGCGCTAGCTAACTGCACATGATAACAGCCAGAAGGTTCTGTGACTGAGCGTGTCCCACTGCCATGGAGATCATGCTGTCCTGTACTTACATTTTCCTCCCCTCCCCTGATGGATTTGACTTTAAGTTTGACTAACTTTGTCTGTCTGCCTCCCTCTCTCTCTCTCTCTGTCTCTGTCTCTCTCTCTGCCTCTGTCTCTCTCTCTGTCTCTCTGTCTCTGTCTCTGTCTCTCTCTCTCCCTCCCTCCCTCCCCTTCCTTCCCCTCCTCTCTCTCCCTTTCTCTCCTCTCCCTCTCCCCCTCTCTCTGTCTGTCCCACCACCACCACTACATTGTCTCTCTGTCTCTCCCTCGGCCTTTTGGACTGGTGGTTCCCAGTCTTGACCACCCTTAAAATCACATGAGGATTTTATTTTTAATTACTGACACTTTAAACATTATGCAGCCTATACGTGTATGTAAATATTGCACCACATCCCATTAAAATGCAGTTAGTTTTATGTAGCCATGAAAAGGAAACTTATCATAGTTAAATTTTTAAAACATAAATTTCTATCCTGGGAATCTGCATCCCGTTGCTAGGGCTACCATAATAAGATAACGCAGATGGGATGGTTTAAGCAGCAAACACTGATCTCCTGGTATTTGTAGAGGCTGAAGGGCTGAGATCAAAGTGTTGTCAAGATTGGGCTGACAAGTGACAGTGACAGGGGCTGTATCTCCAATGCATGAATTCTGGCAGGCTGAAGAACTAGGGGCTGGCCTTTCTGTGTGAGATCCAGCTCTCAGGGCCCCTTATGTGTCACTTAATGGCTCTGGGATGCAGCTTGGGCACCGGGATTGTCTAAAGTTCTCTAATAATCTTAATTTACTGTCAAGGTCAAGAATACTTGCTCTAGAGTCTCTTCAAGGTCACATATCAGGTGGCATGCTATTTTAGTGATGTTATTTATCACAGTGCAGAAGAGTGTCCAACTAAAACTGAAGCCCATTTATCATCTGTCCTGTCCAAGAAAATACTTAGACTTGTTTTTCCTCCCTGTCATGGTCGTACTAATATGACTGTTTATGCAGCCCACTCTAGAGCTATCAATCGCCAGTCGGTTAAGATCACCACCGTGGGCACAGGCACCATCTATCTGCAGGACAGCTTTTTGCTTAAAAATAGTGGAAACTAAAGTCAACTTGTAAGTTCTTTTATAGACCTGTGTGTTTCATGAGTTATTAAGGAATTATTGCGGAGAAGACAGATGACATTCCCAGGGTTGTGAGCCAATAAAATGGCTGATCTGGAGCCAGCCAGAACCTAACTCTCCTCTACCTACTTAGTCTCTTACATGAAAAGACAAGACTGGGGTCAAAGTCGCACATGAAAGCAAAGGGCTGGGGGAGTGGGGGCTTGGTTTTGCTGCTCCTTCCCCCAATCCCAAGGGAAAGGAAGAAACCAAGAAAAACTATTTTCAAAGCTGACCACCACCTCCATTTGAAATCCTCACGTCCCTATGAGCCAGGGTGGGGTGGTTTTGCCAGACACGCAGAGGTGTTTTTCATGGCCTGTTTGTCGGGTGCAGCCTGAATCAGGAGAAGATGCTGTGGTGGTATTGTGTTCCCCAAAATATTGTGTACCTTAATAAACTTATCTGGGGTCAGAGAACAGAAAAGCCACAAGATACTTAGGCTAGAAAATGTTAGCACACGCCTTTAATCCTAGCATTCCAGAGACAGAAATCCCTCTGGATCTCTGTGAGTTCAAGGCCGCATTGGAAACGGCCAGGCATGGTGACTCACACCTTTAATGCCAGAAAGCAGCCTTTAATCCCAGGGAGTGGTGGTAGAAAGCAGAAAGGTTTATAAGGCGTGAGGACCAGAAACTGGAAGCATTTGCCTGGTTAAGCATTTGGCCTGGTTAAGCATTCAGGCTTTGGAGCAACACAGTTCAGCTGAGATTCATTCTGGATGAGGACTCAGAGGCTTCCCGTCTGAGGAAACAGGACCAGCTGAGGAATTGGCAAGGTGAGATAGCTGTGGCTTGTTCTGTCACTCTGATCTACCAGCATTGACCCCAATAACTGGCCTGAGGTTTGATTTTATTAATAAGAACTGTTAAGATTCCTGCTACAAGATGCCTCAGATGCATGGGGGCAATGAGACCGTGCACATGGAGATGGTCTTCTTCTCTGACCTGATCACCGTGCAGGTGGTGCTGGAGACAGAGGCACAACCGCTCCTACAACGTGAGTCCTCCAGGCCGGTCCTCTGGCTGCCACATTTCTCCTTCGTGGCCACTATGGACTAGGGCTGCATTGGCTAAGTCACTGTTTCCCAGCCAAGCACACTTCTGTTCTGCAGAGGTCCCTGGCAGTGTCTAGAAAGGCTTCTGGTCGTCAAGACCTGGCTAAGAGGACAGCGTGGAGGGAGAAGTTCCTTGTGTCCAATGGGAAGAAACCAGGGACGCTGGTAAACTTCCACCATGCAGGCCAGCTCCTTCAACAAAAATTACCTAGCCTAAATGTCTCTAACGCCAAAGTGAGAAGCCCTGGATTAACTACTGTTTTCCCCTTCGTGCATGAAAAACCTCTGCCGAAAGCCTAGAAAATGAGGTTTTAGGAGAGCAGAAATCAGAAGTTGAAGCTGTTTCATGTTGTTTCCTCAAAGGTAAGTAATAGTAATGGCCATTGCTGGCAGTCATCTTGCCACAGATGGTCTGCGTTTCCATGGATATGTGTAACCCAGACCAGGATGTCCTTTCCACAGACCAATCCCACTGGAGCATGTCCACTGAACCTCGCCATCTCTGTGGCCTAAGGTACATCAGAACTCCCTGAACAGCTTTGTCCAATCAGATTCTCAGGCCCCACTGTCAGAATTTCTGATTCAACTGGAACCAAGTTCGCAGGCTTTTCTGGTGCTGGCTTTCCTGAGACCACGCTTAGAAAACCCCTGGTTTATGTTCAAAAGCAGCCCAAATGCAGAAGCAGAGCAAAGGGAGCAGGCCCTCTGTGGGTGTTGTCTGTGGGAATGAGCCTTGCCCTGCTTGCTATAAAAGACTTGCCTGTGAAAGATAAAGGATTATCTTAGACCAGTATTTTATTTTATTTCCCCACCATAAACACTATTTCCTGTGTAGCCCAGGGTTTAGCAGAATTTTCATTACAATATACTGTGGTGATATATTGTGTCCCCCAATATATTGTGCATCCTAATAAACTTATCTGGAGTCAGAGAACAGAACAGCCACTAGATAGACACAGAGGCCAGAAAATGGTGGCACACACACCTTTAATCCTAGCATTCTGGAGGCAGAGATCCATCTGGATCTCTGTGAGTTCAAGGCCACACTGGAAACATCCAGGCATGGAGACACACGCCTTTAATCCCAGGAAGTGATGGCAGGAAGCAGAAAGGTATATAAGGTATGAGGACCAGGAACTAGAGTCTGTTAAGCTTTTAGGCTTTTAGCAGCAGTTCAGCTGAGATCCATTTGGATGAGGACTCAGAGGCTTCCAGTTTAAGGAAACAGGATCGACTGAGAAGTTGGCAAGGTGAGGTTACCTGTGGCCTGTTCTGTCTCTCTGAACTTTCAGCGTTCACCCCAATAACTGGCTCCAGGTTTATTTTTATTAATAAGACCTTTTAATATTCATGCTACAGCATATTATTTAAGTTGAAGCAATTTTTAATATTTTAATGAGAGAACAGCATCTTGCTTTATTTTGTTTTTTTTTAAACAAGCCCATCAAAATAGTACGTCATCATTATCTTGTCAATTTTAAAAAAGGGGAAAAAAGGCCCACCTCCTTGGCCGCTGGTGGATTACCATGTTCCTGTGAATGGCTTTACAACCATGAGGATATGGGTAATGCCAAGTGGACTCAGTGGGTCCGGGGTTTTGCCTTCTCTTTTTAATAAAGGGCATGAAATGGGGGTGTGGGTGGAGACTCAGAGGAGTTAGAGGGGGTTGGGGAATAACATTGTATACCTCTGTGACCTTCTCAATAATAAAAAAAAAAACATAGTAATAAAACCTTTTTAAATAATAAAAACAACCTGTTGTATTGCACTTGAATAAGTTTTAAATAGATGAAACTAGAATCAAATACCACTGGTTTTCCACCGTCTGCATCACAGAAGAACTCTTAAGTATATCTTGTCCCCCACCCCAGGTAAAAGGGAAAAACCTAGGACGGAACTTCCGAATCCTCATGCAAAAAGGAGCCTGAAGACCTAAGAAATCACTCTGTGCTCCATTCCCTCTCTGCTTTTTTAATACTTTAAACAATTATTTATTTTATGTGTCATAAGTGTTTTCCTGCATATATGTAGGCACGTCATATGGGTGCAGTGCCCGAGGAGGCCAGAAGAGGGCATCATATCCCCTAGAACTGGAGTTATGGACCCGTGCTCTGAACCCCTGAGCCATCTCCCCATCTTTTCTCCATACTAGACAACTATCTCTGAATTAGATACATGGGGGATTTTGTTTCTGCACTAATGGGGTGTGAATTTTGCAGTTAGCTCTCTGCCCTTGAAAGGAAACACGCCACAGCAGTCCGGCTGCTTTGCCCGGCTTCCTTTGATAGTTTTATCTGTTGGGCTTTGTGGTGGCAAATGCCGAGGACTCCGTCCTTGTGTTTAAAAAAGTAGCTCCGGTGTCAGCTCTGAGAAAGTATGTCACTGCAGCGGCAAGTGTGGAGCTCTTACTGACGCCGTGACCCAGGTAAGCCTGTCCAGTGGTCAGCGTCTCTCGGAGGACTTGTGTCCGTCGTTATTTCTGGCCCTCTCTGGTTGAAGACACATCAGGTCCAGGTGGGCTTTGCAAGCCTGACGTCTCGGCAGCAGCTCTGCGTTGTCTTCTCTCATTCACATTGCTGACTCGGACACTTGAGACGCCTGTGCTTTGGGATGGCCCCAGAACCCCTCAGTCACCCCCACTTTTGCTCTCTAAGGTTGAAGATTTCTGATTTCTGTCACACAGCTCTCCTATTTTGTGAATCACCATGGAGATGACCAGGTGACTGGGATCATGGTCTCTCTTGCAGCAATCCTGTCTTACTCTTCCCGAAGCTGGGAGCCGTGATTAAAGGGGTTCTGACAGGGATCGCGTGCAGAGCCCCCTCTCTTTGTGGCCATACTCTGTTGGGTTAGCTTAGAAACTAAGTAGGCCATCAGTTTCTTAATGGCATTGTCCCAAAGGAGCAAATCGAGTAGCTGTTCCTCCTACATGTCTCCACTGATACTGTCACTCATGGGTAGATTCAGTAGCGAGGCCTGGATTTTCCACATGTAGGTAGCCCTGGTTGTTCTGTGATTTACATCCCTTCTTGGAAATTCATCTCCAGAGCAGGTCATCACAATACAGCATGACTCTGGTGATATCTGCCACCACTGGAACTGGGAGTGCTTCCTGAAGCACCCATAGCCTGTTGAGGCTCCTCTTTTTTAATTATGTGTTAAATAAACTATGTTCAGAAAACCAGGACTGAGTATATTACTTGAGGTAACATCTTAAGGCTACAGTTTGGTATTCTAAAGAACTACCCAGAGAAAGTCAAGTTTCTGAATATTTTCTATGGACACCTGAGATCACATGGCATCTGCCAGGGCTACTGAGAGCCTTGAACTCATTTATAAGACTTGTGAAGTTTCTAGCTCTTCTACAACACAAAATAACAGAGGACCATATCATCTACAATATAATATAAAAAATGGTCAGGTAATCTACAATGTAGTATAATAAAGGGCCATATAGGTAAAGTTTATTGCCATGATTCGCTGCTGTAATTACCACCAATATATTAGTAGCATATCGATATACAGTGTATGCAATTATAATTGCTATAATATCACATTATAGTAATTATTATAATCACTGTAACAGTAATGTAAACTTCCTGAATTACTATTATAGCCTGATAAAAGCCTTTTGAACATTAGTCCAGTTACATGGAATGACACTTAATTTTTAATCCCACTTTGTACAGTATAGTTCATAGAGTTTACATATATTGACCAAAGCTGTATAATTAATAGTTGTAGATAAAAGGCTAGAATTCACCCTCCCTTGCTAGTCATTTACTCTCACATCAAGAGCCAACTCCTTAAATATCCCTGAGTCGTGATTCCCTTCTCTATACACCAGACATATCTAAGGACCCGTCCTCACACAGAGTTGTGGCTAAGAAACATATCTATGAGGATTTCTAGCATGGAGACTAGATGGTTCATTAGTTGACTCTGAACGTGTGCACCAGACAGTCCATCTATCTAACATTTACACATACATAAACATGTACTACTAAAGCACTCTGTTAATGGAAGAATTCTTCTCTGGATATTTTTGTAAAGCTATATACCACTTTAACTCACTGGTCATTGATCTACATTTTACATCCAGGCATTTTGATGTATTAGCTTTTGGAAAGCAAAACACTTGTACATGTGTCCCGCCTTGCCATACCCTTCTACTCTGCTGTGTTTGTTTGGAGAACAGTTCCCTGGTCTAATTTTGTGAGATGAACTCATTGGAACTGGAGGCAGGATGATGAAGGGGAAGACCACACCGGCTTACTCAGGAGTTGAAAGACTCTAGCCGCTCATGTAATCATAGTGAACCTCGTTTTCCTGATATTTAAGATAAAAGACTGTAAAGAAATAAGAAAGACAGCCAGTTTCTGTTCCAACACATAAAAACTGTAGAAGTTATCACTCCCATCTTATAACAACAACAAAGCAATCAATCACCTGAGCAAACTGAGCATCAAAAACTATTGAACCTGTCAGAGGAGTGAGGACACAGGAAGCCACCACCTTAAAATCACAGAGATAGGTAAATGGGGGCAGTCCCAGGGGAGGTCTACCATTCATAGTCACAGTCAGAAAGCTTAGGCATATATCAAAGAAAATGTGTGTAGGATCTCTATGCAGAGAACCAAAAAGCTCTAAAATAAGCAGAAAGATACCTCCAGTTCAAATTATGTGATGTTAAATGCTAATTCTCCCCAGTTTGACCTATACAATCAATTAAAACCCAATCAAAATTCCAGCAAGCCATTTTGTGTAGCACAAAATGATTCCACAGTTTACATAAAATGCCAAAGAGGCCTAGCAAGCCTGACACTGAAGGAGAATCAAATGAGAGGATAAACACGGTCCAACTTGAAGACTTGCTACAAAGCTTCAGTCAATGACAGTGTGGTGCTAGCAAACGGAATAAACACACAATGACTGGCCAGAATGGACAGTCCCCTAATGCAAATATAGTCATCCCAATCAAAGGCAGACAATTCAAAGAAAAATGTCTAGACTTTCAATAAATGGTGATGGATCAATTCAACTTCCATATGCAAAAAAAAGTTAATCTGCATGCAAAACCTATAATTTCCACAAAAAGTCAAAGTATTTTTAGACTCAAATATAAAATACAAGACTTTTAGAAGATAACATAGGAAAAATATTTCAGTGCACTTGGATTTGGTGTCAGATTCTTGGGCCTGATGTTAAAAAGTCTGATCCATGAGTGAAAATATCAGTAAATTTTAATTCATGGAAATTAAAAACTATCCTGACAAAGACACTGTAAAGAAAATGAAAACCAAATAATAAACAGGCCTCTGACTGAGAAAAAATACTTACAGTAACACATACTTGGAAATGAACTTGAATCCAAAAGATACTTAAAATTCATCTATAAAAAGCAACTAATTTGGGGCTAGGGAGATGACTCAGCAGTAATAAACATTTTCTGCTCCTACACAGGACCTGAGTTTGGTTCCTACTACCCAAATCAGGTGATTCACAACTGCCTTTAACCATGGAATCTAGCGCCCTCTTCTGACATCTTTGGCCTCCTGCATGCACATCATGTACATAAACTCATACAGGCACACACACACACATACACACACACACACACACACACACACACACACACGTAATTTTTTAAATGTTTTTTGAAAAGCAGCTAATTTAAAAAGTAACAAGCTATCTGGAAAGACACCTTGTCAGATGTGAATGTAGCAAGTGAGCATATGCAAAAAACCTCATCATCCTCATCACCGCATGTCATAGGGGACTGCAAATTGGGATGATAATAAAATACAAATGCATGCTATTAAAAAGGCTGAAGTACAAGAAATTGATAGTGCTAAGTGATCCTGAGAAGGCAAAATTGGAAAGGCATTTTTGGGGCTATTTGGTAGTCTCCCACAAAGGCTGGTTATGGTTTTGCCACATTATCAACAATCATTCTACTGGGTGTTTACTTGGTTGAGTTTAAAACCTGCATTCACTAAAAACTCTGGTGCAAGTGTGTGTGTGTGTGCATGTGTGTGTGTGTGCATGTGTGTATGTGTGTGGGATGGATAGATAGATACATAGACAGATATATAGATACATAGTTAGATAGATACATGGAGAGGTACCAGCTTTATTCATAATCATCCCCAACTAGAAACAACCCACGTGCTCTTTAACCTCTGAACAAATTGACTAACTGATATGTCCATGCAATGAAATACAATTCAGAAAAAAAGAAAAGAAGCTTCCAAGCCCTGGAAAGACATGGGAAAACCCTGGTGAAGGGCTGCGTCCTGCATGGTTCTAATTATATGGAATATGCAGAAACATGAACCTATTCAGTAAAACACCGAGTGGTCGCCAGTACTTCAGAGGGAAGAGGAGAAATAAACAGATGGAATGAGTTGGGTTGTTTTTCAAGATCAGTAAAATTTATCTGTGTTGTACTGTATTCATGAATACAAAACACTCATTTGTCAAATCCCATAGAACTGTATGGTGCAGAAAGTGGGCCTTACCAGATAGAAATTTTTAAAGGTCAGATGAGATTGGGGATCCCAAGAAGAATGCAGACTAACAAAAGGAGCTGAGTAAATTGCAGATGTGGGAAACAATCCTTCAGGAGGCTGGTGGGAAAGCTGCCAGGGACCAGCCTCAGCAGTTTCTAGGGTCTCGAAGGGCAGGGATGTCTGGCAGGCTCAAGAAAAGACTCGGCACACGAGTTGGTGCAAGCTGACGAGTCTTGTCAGATCTGGAGATGTGCGTCTTCTCTGCCTCCTCCTGATCCGACTCAACCCCAGTCTTTTCTTGTAATAATACAAGGAAATGAGGATGAGAAAGTTCAACAGGTGATTGGATTTTTCACAATAGTTTCGAAAGTTCTTTTTGGAAATCAGCAAAGTGTACCCCATGCCCCTTGATTGCACAGAGAAGTTCCCAGGCAGAAAGCCAAAGCATACCAACTTATTCTTTCTCAAGTTAATAATTACCAGAATATCTGAGGTTATCACCCCAGAAGCCATCTACTTTCAGGTTCTCAGAAAGCTCAGAGGTATGAGGAATGGTTTAAGGTGCCAGACTGCCAGCGCTTCCTCTCAGCTTAAGTCTTCTTCATCACTCTGTAATCCATCAAGTTGTCTTCTAACTAGTGACATATAAATATGTTTTCTACCACCAGCCTTCGGGGTTTTTCCCATGACCTGCAGAACAGCTTTAACTCCTGCCACTGTCACAATCGCAATATCATTTCTAATTTCATGGAAACCACCACAGGAGAGAGAAAGAAAATCATAAAAACAAATAGAGTAGAAGGATCACGAGAACCAGTAACAGTTGGATGGGTGAGAACATGGCATGCATACGCCATAAAGTCTGCCCTCGGGAAACAAGGGTTGTTTTCTCCCTGGCTCATAGAAGGCAGGCTTAGTAGAATATCTGGAGGGGCAGGTCCGGAGGGATCAATGCCCTCATTCTCGGGTACCTCCAGCACAGATGCCGCTGGCAGGCTTTTCATACGCCGTCTCCGGCAGAAAGCGCACTCGCAAGTCATGTCAGGAATCAGTGGAGTCTGAAGATGAAGGCACTGCAGATAAGCACAGAACTCTTAGTTGGTAAAATAGCTTCCCACATGGTTAGTGGTTAGCGGTCTGGCCCTGCTCTGTAGAAGTATGCAGTTAGGTAAACAGGTTCAAGTGGGAGCTGAGTTTCTTGTTGTTTGTATAGGAGTTTACAGATTCTATGCAAGAGAAAGAAATAGGTGGATATATATATATATATATATATATATATATGATATTCTTTATATATGGTATTTATACTCTGATGGTATCATTATCTTCACATCATTTTCTTCAAGCATAATGCAGGGAATGTATTTAAGTGGACAGAGAATTCACAAATCTCAGTATACTTTCTGAAACAGGTGTGATGAGTCATGCCTTTAATCCCAATACTGCAGAACTAGAGGCCAAGAGTCCAGGAGTTCAAGGCCAGAGCCTGCTACATAGCAAGTTTGAGGCTACTGCCTCACACATCACACACAAACACACACAGAGACACATACACATAGTTATAAAATTGTCGTTTAATTTGTTCTAACATTATGCTCTGTGGT